CAAAACATTGTTGAAAACCCCAAGACAAAGTATGAACTACATGAAAGAACATTTTATGGCAGCACATATACTAAAAACCATACAGAGAAAATGTTATTACTTCCATGTAAGCATGACATGCAGACTAATGAAGTGTTCCATTTTTTAAAATATGTGCAAATCCCAATGTAAATAGTCAAGCAATGTGAAAAACAAAATAAAATATCTTGTCTGAAGATCATCAATCCTATAGTAATGGTCCCTAATAGGACCAATATAGACAAAATTTCAAAGCATTTAAAAGATAAGAAAAATTCAAAGAATTGAATAAGGAAACAAACCCCCAAAAGAATTTAAAGACAAGAAATAACTCTTGTTATTCCAAGAATTCCAAGAAAACAAAACAAACAGGTTAATAAAGTAAATTCGAGATATGAAAACAAAATTCAATAAAGATATAGAAAGATTAAAGAAAACCCATGATGCTGAAAATGAACACTCAAGTCAAATTAAAAACTCAATTTAAAAAACTAAACAATAGAATGTATCATATAGAAGACAGAATAGCAAAGCTTGAGGATAAGGTAGAAAAAGAAGTTAAGTAGTAACATTTAAGTGTAAGTGGAACATTTGAGATCTCCTTCAAATTGTGGGCACAATAGGAGAATTCCATGCCTAGAAAAATTTTCAGTTGAAATCATAGAAGAAAAATTTCCAAATCTAAGGAAAGAGATGCAGGAGGTATAGAACCCCAAAGAAACACTCCCTGTAATATCGTAGTTAAAGCACAAAATACACAGAAAAAAAAAAAAAGAAAGTGTATTCAAAGCAGTAAGGAAAATTGAGTTACATACAAAAGTAGTTCTAAAAGAATAACAACTGCCATTTCAGTGGAAACACTAAAGTCCAGAAGAGCAGGTAATGAAAGACCACAGATGGTAAGTCAGATTAGAATGCCTAGTAAAACTTTCCATCACAACTGAAGGGGGAAGAAAAGATGAAATTAGTGAGAACAGTTAGGAAGCTATCAGAGCAATCTAAATGGAATCTTATGGTGGTTTACACTAGGGCAGTAGCAATATGAAGCAAGGGTTATCAAAGGATGGAAGACAGCCTAGAGGTGGAGTCAGTAGGATATACTGAAGGAGGAAGAACCAAAAATGAGTTCTAACAGGATTTTGGTAAAGGCTAGACAATTAAACATATTTCAGAAAACTGTAGAATGCCGTACTTAAAAATAGGTGATATTATCCACACTACCAGGGAAACTAGTAAGCAAGCAGGACCCTAAAAGAGACAAACTTTGTCCCCTGGAGAAGGGGAAAGGGTCACGATCCGCTGAGCAAATTGAGAGCATGGGAAGAGGGGGGAGGGAGCTACAGAATGAGAAGGGAAGAAGAGGAAGGATGCAGAGGTCATGAGGGAACAGAAAGGTTGAGTCAGGTATAGATTAGAAGAAAGGATGTGTGATAGGTAGGGTTTTAGTTGGGGGAGTGGTAGGGGAGAAAGGGAGGGAGAAAGGATTGTCATGTAATTCAATCTTGTTTGTAATTCAAATAAAAATAAATAAATAAGTGATATTATCAAATGTAAGCTAAAACAAACAAACAAAACAAAAAACACTGAGTTCCTCTGAAAGGCAGAGCACTGCGCCCATGAGGCTTTAAATTGGAGGAAACTTCTACACATCTTGGAACCACAAGCCTGCCTCCCACAGCCTCTGGTTATTTAACTGACGAGATTCACTAGGCTCCTCCCTCTTTGTGAGTATCTAAAAAGTAAAGACTACTAAAGGTCACTCAGAAAAACCAAGCAATTGGAAAGAAGCAGAGAACTGCTTAGAAGAAACTAAGACCAGCAGAGATGCCTAAAGAGGCTCAAACAGGCCACCTGGAATAGACACTCTCAGATCTGCTGCCTGCAGGCAGAGCATTGAGCTCCAGGTTTCCAGATTTTAAGATCTGTCACCCGTGCTGGGTGGGCTTTGGTAGTGCAGCTGTCTGAGTCATTTCTGCTTCTGTAAGTAACTTCCTACACATCTTCCTGTAAGTAACCCCAATAAAATTCATTGGTTCACCACATTGGATTTGGTGTACCCTTACGTTGCTCTCTCATGGGTTCCCTTCCTGGGATGTGTAGACCTGTGTTTTGTCTCTCCAGGAAGAGTCTGTCATGCAACCCAGGCCAACAGAGAGCCGAAATCACTGATAAGTAGTGACTGTGTGTCCTTCCAATGAGGATGGCTGTTGAACTCTGGAAGAACTTATATGCAGGTGCAGAGTTGGAAGAATTTGCAGTTAATCCTTTCTAAATCCAGTTTCACCAGATGCTTTCAAACACTACTCTTTCATTTTAGTCCTTATACCATAAAGTACCAAATCAATGTATTTTTCAGACTATTTTACCAACCCCACAGAGGGACAAAATAGTGCTGTTCGGTTCTAGTTCCGAACTGCTTTCTAGCTGTGCATAGGATTCCATCTGATGGGACTTGTCTTCTCTATGTACAAACAGCAGTGATGGAATTTTACTAGTGACTAGAAATAACTATTCATTTTGTGCAGCAACAAAGCTAAATCTACTTTTTTAAAATTTCCAGCCAACTAAACATTCAATGAATAGTCAGTTTTCTTCTCAGTGTTTCCAAAGCTTTACTCTGTACCTTGCTTTGAGCTAAACATTCTGTATGTATAGTCTCACTAAGGTTACAACTTAAGTTTCCAGAAACTGAGCAGTAAAAATATTGATTTACCTATCTAATAGCAACTGAACTTAAATCTCTACCCTTTCTTATTTTCAAATTAAATGCTAACGACCACAGTACATGCCTCACTAAAGAATCATACTTTTTGGCAAACTGTAACAGATTTAGCAAAAGAAAAGCAATACAAGCATAGTCTCCATGTTTTTAAACAGAAAAATATTTTTTAGCACTCTGGCAGTACCATTATACCATTATAATGCAGTTCTATTTAGAGAGTGATTGAAAAATGGAATATTCATTCAACCACGTTACTCCTCTACAGTAGTGCTTCACTTTGCATTGTCCATAGACTGTTAAAATAATTTAGAAAAATTCATGTTCTCTGGTGTAGCAAAAGTTATATATTTCTAAACTATTTAGAAAATATGTAATAATCGTAAATTTAATATTAATCACCTCCTTTTCACTACAATGTACATATTATGCTGCATAATTAATTACTAAGGCAAAGTCTACTGTTTTAATTACACTTTGAAATTAGTATATGGAATTAACATAAGAAAGCATTTAATGTGTCTTAAGTACTTCAGGCATTTCATGGAGAATAAAACTATTAAAAGTCAATGAGCTCCAATGAAACAATCTCTTCTATGCATTGTTCTTTTGTTTCAAAACTCAGAAAGTAACTAAATGATACTTTTAAAGAGCTTTTCTTATATAAAAATATACAAGCATCTTTAGGGATACTAGTACAAATATATGTACACCATGAAACTAGTGTTAACACTGAAGTCAAATGCTATCATATGTTTTGAAATTATGCTTCTAGAAATAATTTTTGTCTTTGTGAACTGGATCTCATTTCAACTTCTTTAATCACAGCTAACAATGTGGACTTCCCAGGATACCCCCCATTGTCACATTATATCCATAGCTGTAATCATCCTTCTGGCTATGTATGTTCACCTCTCCGAGAGTAAGTATTATTTATACGTGTTCATTCTAACAGGAGTGTTCACTTCAACTTATGATTCACTTCAGGATTCCTAGCTTATCAATGGGAATATTACCAACATACTTTGTTCGGAGAAAAAAACTGCCCCTAAAAGCAATTTTAAAAATAACTTTTTATATTTTTGTCTTAAATAGAAGAATAGATAATTTACTATAAAATATATTCTAGGTCTCTGGGCATAATGAAACACAGGAATATTTTCCCACAGCTCAACTTTCCATGATGTTTATATTTCTCCACTGTAAATTAAGGGATTTTTAAACATATGCATATATGAGCAGTACTAAATGAACTTAGTTTTGTGTGTGTGTTTTTGTGTGTGTACAATAATTGAAGAAGAGGTCATGAATTTGAAAGGGAGTGGGAGTGGAGAGAAGGATATGGGAAGAGCCAGGTGGGGGAGAGGTAGAAATGATGCAGATACAGTACTGTATTTTCATGAATAATTCTAAACCAAAATTAAAATTTTAAATTAAAAAATAAAATTCCCTGAAATTACAGTACACGTTTATGAGCCACGAATGTTTTACCCTGAGTGAATTATTTATATGGGATCACCTGATTAAAGATGTCTACGGAATGAAATATCCAGTAGGTATATTCAGATAAAAACTGCCAAAAGCAGAGATGAAGTACTACTGACAGGTGATCAACCAAAGGATACAATGGTAATCTAAAATAAATTCAGAAAAATCTCATATTGCATTGAATTGGAGTGTACACATGCATGTACAATACCACCTCACAAATTCATTATTTTTAATTTATGCTGTTATTTTTAAATCATAATATTAACACATAAAATGAACATAAAACTTTTGTTTGATGAAAAATATATGTACACCATGAAAAAATATAAATTCATGATAAGAGAAAATGTGTTTGTAGTTTTAGTACTGTATCCCTTAATGCTTTTTCTACTTTAGACCTGTCTTAAACCTAAGTGGGCAGTTATTGCTGCACATAGTCATAACAGGAGTAATAATGTGGGGTCTTTCCACTTATTTGTCGCCTTTGAATTTGTGGCCAAGATCTTATGCTCCCTGGAAGAACAAACTAATGAATTGCTGCTCCAAATAAATGAGGAGAAGCACCTTTGGCAGGACCTCTTACAGTCTTGATAAGCTGTGTAAGGTCAGATTCTGCCTTCCATCCTGCTAAGGTAACGTTACAGTCTCATTTTCACAGATCGGAGAAAGATGCTTACAGAAACCATGGTTCTTTGTCTTCTCTTCCCATGCGCCTCAGGTTCTAGACAGAGGGATTTGTAATCGAGCTGTGCAGAACACTTGTCAAACACACTGTCCATACTGAATCACTCTCCAAAAACAGCCAAAAAGCTTGTGATGTGTGTGATCCCATAGTGAACTCAATAGAGCTTCAGGACTGACAAAAACCATAGAGAAATGTGGAAGTGATGACACTCCCATGATCAGTTAGTGCAATTTTAATACTGGGAAACTCTATCTGCCTCCAGATGTTTAAGTTGACATAGAACTTTACAAAAACAAGTAGTGAACATTCTAGAATATCCTAAATATGCCATATTTAAATGGATCTGTAGCCCTTATAAATTAATGTGATAGACTCTATATAGCATAACAACTGGAATCCACCATTACACTGCTCATTTCAAATGCATAAAGCCTTCACCTCCTTACTGGTTAGAGCCTGCAAATCACTCCTATTGAATTTGCATTTAAAATGTTTCCCCTCACATGATAATTTACTAATAGAATATATTTATAGCTTTGAATTTTTAAAATCATCTTATAATTTTCTGTAAAAGTATGAACTAAAAGTTTTCAAATGTATTTTCTATGACCATAGTATCTAAGGTTTAAAACTACAAGTATGTAGCTGGGTGTGGTCATGTAATCTTGTAACCCTAGAATGTAGGCAGTGAAAGAAGGATTGTCATGATAAGTTCAAGGTCAGGTTGAGATGCACAGAGAGTTCAAGGTGAGACTGGGATAAACAGTGAGTCCACGGCCAGGCTGATTGCACAGTGAGTTCAAGGCCAGGCTAAGACGCAGAGCCAAACTGTGTCTCAAAGAGGGGGAAATTAATAAAAGTAATTATATAAATATAAACATAACATTGGCTTGGTCAAGTTCTATATGATGATTTTCATTTATCTCATTATATTTTATTATTTGTGTTGTTACCTTCTGGAAACCTATTCTTTTCTAATGAGAGACAGAAAGGGAGTGGATCTGGATGGGAGGGGCAGTACAGAAGAACTGGGAGGAGTAGAGGGAGGAGAAACAGTATTCAGATTATATTGTATGACCAAAGAATCTATGCTTAATAAAAGGTGAAATATAAATATATTTCATTGAAAAAACTGCACATATATGCAGGAACATATGTATAGAATTCTCATTTCCCTGTTTTTTATTTTTAATAGAGGTAGATATTGTATTTCTTATTAAGTAAACAATTTACATATATAAAACTGCTACATAAAGTTTAGAAATGCTACATAAAAGGAGTAGAACAAATGTTCAGGGAAAAGAAAAGGTAGACTTTCTGAGGACTGCATATCTACTCAAAGGATCGACTAAATAAAAGAATAACTAAAGCTAAAATTGTAGTATACATTCTGACTACTTAGTATTTCATGTAGAATTTTTATTTTATAAGGATGTGACCTCAGGTCACTGTCCCTTCCCCCCATAGTTAACCTGTCATATTCACAATAGAAAAGGTCAAAGAGAATTAGTTTAAGACTTCTGCTCTCTATAAACTTGCCTCTTCATAAGGCCAAGTTAAGAATGCTTATCTTTTGTAACTCTATTTGCTTACAGAAACCCATCATATTCCAAGCTAGTGATGTTTGTCCAGACAGAAATGAAAGGAAAACTGCCTCCATCGATAATTGAAAAATTTATGCCTTCCAACTTAGTGAGCTTTTTCCACAATGCAAAAAGATGGTGGCGAAGGCACATAGGATTCCATCAATATGTGGATGCCACATTGGGCACTCATCAGTGTACAGAAACAAATAAAGCCATTCTGTCATTAAACCATAGAGATTTTGGACCACACAAACTGCTAGTAAGTGTAGTTTGTTACTGCAGACTACTTCTAAGTCAATATGCATAAATTGGTTATATATCTCTAGACATTATTCTTGTACAGAGAGGACTTGAAGTATTTTATCAAAATAAGAACTCCATTATTACAAGAAAACTCCATTAAATACAGTTTTTAATCTCACATGACATTAAATAATGTGCTATTAATACACTTTGCCCACCAGAATATGCTCCATATTCAAATCATAAACAAGCAGGTATAGCCAGCAGCCAGCATTAATTAGAAAGTAATTATTTATCTGGGGATGATGACAAGCACCTGTAACCCTGATACCGGAGGGACTGAGATGGGCCAGAAGAATGAGACTGGCCTAGGCTACACAGAAAGACCCTATCTCAAAAATAAATAAAAAGTGTATTTTAAATTATTCTTCCTTCATTTACTGCTTAAATTGAGAATTATGGAAACTTGAACATAAGAACTGAAAAGAATTCCACTGGGGAGATCACAGTGCATCTTAAGGGTACAGTAATTGCCTAACATTAATGACCCTGGGTTCCATCTTCAGCACCAGAGAAAAGTAACAGTTCCACCCCAGTACATAACTGATGATGTTTATCTGAACCTCCATTTCCTCTTGGGTATCAATAAGGTTAGGAGTCACAGGGCTAGTCTCATTTTCTTTCCATTTCCTTCATCCTTTGGTGTCATCAGTGCCACCTGGAGAGATGAGCTCATGCCTCCACTGCAAAGGCAGCACACATATGCAAATCATTGTCCACTTCCACCAAGAAAGTATCAACAGGGGTGGAAATGGAGTTAACTGCCACATGCATCTGCCATAAGGATCAGCCCATGCTCTGCTTTCTCCAGGGTAGAGATCAACACCACCCAGCCCCTGTGCTAATTACATTTACAGTGATGCTGTGGCCTTCTTAAGGACCCTTCTGACAAGGAACTGTCACTGAAAATAGACAGGGAGTGTTCAACATGTGGAGTGTAAAAGCAGTCTAGTTCAAAAGTGGCCAAAGGCAACAGCACTAAAAAAGATATGTGATTGAAAATCAAACTCAAAAAAAGAAAAACATATTCCACAATATTAGCCACTGGGTAAATTCGAGTAACAATCAAACTGAGAAGTCAGCACACCTACTAGAATAACAGAAAGTCTTCAAAATAATGATAGGATCAAGTGTGGGCATGCATTCAGAGAACATCCACCTCCTCACTTCATTCAGCACTCATTCATGTGTTTATTTTCTTCTTTTAAATTCATTTGCTGAAACAGAAATCTCTACTCTTATGGAGGCCATTTCTGTAGGATTAATACTTTCTAGAGGACAAACATTGTTTCTTATGTTTTTGTGTCGGGATTTGCACATTTGGTGTTAAATCATTAATTGGTTGAATTGATTTTGATTTGCTATTTTTCCTCACCCTTGGTCTTCATAGAAACTTTTCCTGTTAAAAGAGTACCAGGGTATTGCTAACACCATATGGGATGGGCATATGGAGCATCAGTGGGATGCTGGGCTCACTAGAGTGATTGACATGGCTAGAGTCTCCCTCAATTCCTGTCCTCACTGAAGCAACAGGCCAGGGGTGAATCTTCCTGGGTGTGCTACTATACTTGCCTGGGCAGTGATGAAGTTGGACATCCCTGAGCATATAGCCTTCATTTCTACCTTTAGATGGTTAGAAGAAAAGAGCCTGCACTACTCCACAGACTCAAGTTCCCATAGCCACCCTCAGCCTTCATCAGCTCAAAGCTGGTATACAGAAGTAGTGACCACTGGGACCTCTCAGCTTCCAACCAGCTACATCAGACTGAATCTTCGACTGAAAAGAAAGACAAACATGTCAACAAAAAAGTGAAAGGAGTAGAGGGAGAAGAAGTTGGTGATGACAACAACAAAGATAACGACAGACACTTTAAAGCTTGGGAGAGAGCTCTTAAAAAAACAAAAGAAAACAAACTGAAGTCTGATGCCTTAATCCTATGCCTTTAAATGCCACCAGATGGCGCGCCCACATTTTGCTTGTGGATAGCTTAGGCCCACACCAAACATTTGGTCTGTTTTTGAAGGAACCACCAGCAGCTTTCATACTAGTTTTCTATAACAGTTTCCTAAACATTACTGCAACTTTTACTAACAATTTCTTCAAACCCTTGTTACTCATAAGCCTAAATATCATATATTTTGTAATTTTGGGGGGACAGCCAGCATTTCTAGATACCAACTTTTGTAGCAGTTACTTCCAAATATCCAAAAACACTTTGTTCGTGATAAAATGAACCATATAATGTATTCTCTGAATATTTTGATATTAACTGCCAATTCTAATCCTTTTAAAGCTTTTATTTTTTTACATAACATTATTTTACATTCATCATTTCAATGTTTTTGCAATAAAAAGTAAGTTTATAGCTTCATGGAATTTAATGAGAAGTAAATACTCATATACTAGTTAAGATGCTTATCTGGATTTAGAAATATTTGGGAGTTAAAATATCTTAATGGACTGGAATCATTGACCAGATAAAATAGAAAGCTTCAATGATTGCATGACAACTGCATGAAGTTTCATAGGGTACCACTAATGACGCTGAAGTGGGAATATGACTACTCAACTACCCCAAACTAAATACTGAATTTAGCTGAACACCAAGGCTAAAGCAGGTATCTCAGTAAACAGAGATAATGCAAGCATGTGCCTCCAAATTCTTTTCATTACCAGGGGAATGGAAATGTAATCATCTAATCAAATAACCTACGGGCTGGGGCTGTGTGTGTGTGTGTGTGTGTGTGTGTGTGTGTGTGTAAATGAGCATATGTGAAGTTCAGCAGTACTTATTTGTCATGCATGAGGCCCCAGGCTCAGTCACCAGCACTGCCATTCCCTACCCCCAATATCTCCCCGCAAAAAGCAGACTAGTATTCTACATTCTAGCAACCTAAAAACAGAATATTCTACTAATTAACATCTCAAATATGTTATCTTTATTGTTATGAAACCTCTGGGTTTTGTTTAGATAAATCGGGTACATGGGAATTTTCTTAGTTACTTTTATAATTTGAAACAAATGACTATTGGAAATGACCATTTTTAAATGTCTTAATCTCTACAAGAATAGCATATTTGGTATGTATCCTAATGCATACACTTAATGTGATATATTCTCTTTACATTTTATACTCTATATAACTATTAACTGGGAGCCAGAACTTCTAAACTTTATGACTACTTACCTTTATATTTTGTCTCATTGCACACTTGCTTGTGTTTATTTGCATTTTGGTGTTTTTGCATCTTTGTGTGTACAGATTTCACAAGGTTTTGTAATAATCCTGATTATTGTAGAGTGGTCTTTTTGAACACTGTCAAGATGTGTTGCTCTCATAGTCTTAATAAAGAGCTGAATGGTCAATAGCTGGCAGGAAGAGGTTAGGTGGCACTTGTGGACAGGGAGAGAGCTCTATGATGAAGAAGGGTGGAGTCACCAGCCAGACAGAGAGGGAGCAAGACATGCAAGAGGACAGTAAAATTCTACCTACAGCAGATGATTAAAAAACTTAAATCTGAATAAATGTGAAAATTCAAGAAAGTTCTAAATCACAAACTTGATATGAAAAAAATCTAGGGGTTGAAGGGTAGCTATCAGTAGTGTGCTTTCCTAATATGCAGTACACCCTAGGCTCCATCAGGTGAGGTGGTAGATCTAACTTCCAGGTGTGTATGTGAGGGAAGTCAGAATAAGAAAACATAGGCTTATTCCCATAGGGAAATAGAGAGGTACTTTGTAAATCCAGCAAGGAGGTGTGTAGGGATGAGGCGTGGGCAGGCAATGCAGAGAAGTAACTAGGCACAGCCTCAACCACAGTTCACTGGTGGAGATGGGGGAGAAGAATCTGTCCCCAAAAAGTAAGTCTGTCAAGAGTCAGGTGGCTCTACCCAGAGGACAAGCCCACACAGTTGGGATTATATTGGCTTAGTAAAGTGGCGGTGGTAGCTCTCAATAAGATCATGATTTCACTAGCTCTGCATAACCGGCTAGGTTTCCATTACCAGTCATGATATTCTTCTGTTGAATGGGCTTTCAATCTAATTAGAGAGCTGCTGCTTCCCACAAAGATGTAAGCGCCACTACTGCATCTGTAGGGCTATTTTGCCATGCTGGTCATTGTGGTTCACAGGCATCACACTGGGTAGGATTACTCATTGTCCCCTCCTTTGGCAGCTGGCATAGCACCTACTTGTATTATGAAAGCTAGTCCCCAGGGTGGAATTGGGAAGGGTGTGGGAAGTTGGGATTAGAAAGACTCACCAGGTTGGGCCACTGTACAAGTTGTCCTGAGCAGGACTGGGCCTGGTAGTTGGATGTGGTTGGGAAGCGATGACGTCAGGTGGTCACAGGGTGAAGTGCGCTAGCACACATAATCTATTTTTTTATGCTTATGTGTGTTGTTTACTTTGTTAATTCATCTGAATTTTAAACATGTACTCATTAGTAGTAGATATTTTTTTGTTTGTTTGTTTTTCTAGGCTCTAACCCTCCATAACATTATTCTCTGCTCTTCTTTCACCACACACACACACACACACACACACACACACACACACTTGAACACAAAAAAGAAATTCTTCAAAAGCTGATTTGTGCACAATAATGTCGTCTCAAAACTCAGGGGTCTGAAGCAGAAAGTTCACAAAATTGAGACTGGTCTGGGTTACACAGTAGGTTATTATTTCAAAAACAAATATCAAGCCAACTTGTCAAATTATATGTAATAATTTGGCTAAAGATATTTACCTGTTTGAAACTAACAAGATTATTCCCTATTTGGATGCTATGGACTGACTTTGAGACATTGCACAGTTCACAAAAAAAAAAAAAAAAAAAAAAAAAAAAAAAAAAAAAAAAAGAACCTGTTCTTTCCTATAGCATAAGAGATGCTGTGATGCCTGTATTTTGCATGCAGACATAAAATATCTGTCCCACAACTTATGGCAAATAGCCTACTGTTGACCATAATATTCCTTTTATTGGAAAATGATATAAAACAGCTGTAGAAATAACAGGAAGATAGCATTTTTTTTTTTTACATTATCACATTGTGAATATTTTTTCCCTTTGTGCTAGAAATTACTTCCTGCACCCATTCTTGCTTTATTTGGAACACCTTACACTGGGATTTCTACATCACTGAATATTAGTTTTTAAATAAGAAGAGCTATGGGAGGCTAATGTGAAACTGATGACTCCCTTCTTTCTGGCCTTTTTCCTGAGTGCGCTTATTTATGTACAGAATGGAGCTCTGCTCCAGCTGTTTTCCACTCCGCCATCAATTCCTTTTGGACCTCTTCTGGTAGCTCATAGAAAACTTGAGGATCAATATCAGAGGGGAAAGTAAGTTTTTCATCGGCAAAATCTTGCTCTCTACTTTCTATTAGTCCTTGATTAGAGGTGGTAGCTAGTGTCTGCTTGTGACTATCCACAGGGCGATGTTTGGAGAAAAGTTGTTCACTCTGCAGATTTGGAAATGAATGAAACACAGAAACAGCTGGGTTTGTATTGGAAAAGTGGAATCCTTGAGATTCTTTAGGTCCCTGGCTCATGCGTTCATCTTTTAACTGATTATCTATATAATAGGAACAATCCTTTCTGCATGATGGATGGGAAGAACTACTGGTACTCAAGCCTGATGTTCCTGGTTCGCAGGGAGACATAGCCGATACCTGTTTGCCAGTAGACACAGTATTTCTGGGGCTTAAGGAAGTAGCTTGCATTTGCTTTTTAGAAAAGAAAGACAATACTCCTCTAGAGGCATGCAGTGGACAACTTAAACTTCCTTTCCCTTGGAGACTGTCTTTGGATTTTCCAGAAAGGATCTCTTCTTGAATGTCTGCTGGAAGTTGCTTAAAGACTTCTTGGTCAACACCCTCGGGAAGGGCCTGGAGAAAGTCACTTGTGTCTTTTTCTTTTGAAAGATACGTGGCATCCAGTGGGGACTCCTCAGTTCTCGTACTCTCAATTCTTCTACTTGGGAGACAATCCCAGTTTGCTTCTTTCTCTTTGTAAAGGTCTTCATTGTGACTATCTTTCACTTTCTAGAACAAAGGGGAACAGCAGAACTTAGGAGTCCGACATGCTTTAAATATCACTGCTGCTGAAGTACTCCTATAGCTAGTCTCACAAATGATTTCAAACTTGCTCAACACCTTCAGTCTTTTGTTGCCAGTGCCAAGTAGCTACAGATGATTAATCTGTCCCAGTGAGTTATACTACTGTGTAGCTTATCATGATACTCATACTATCCTTGCTAGCTAGCACAGAGTAGGGGACAAAATATGCATAAGGAAAGGACCTCAACAATCATTATGTCCAACATCTAATTCTGTAAACTAAGTGATACAATGTTATTAAAAAATATATTCGGAGAGTGCAAAGGGCTGATTTTCCAAAAATTTTTTGTCTAAAAGGTAAAATTTAACAGAAAGGAACAAAAAAATAAAGACACACACACACACACACACACACACACACACACACACGCACGCACGCACGCACGCACGCACGTACACATATATATATTATATATATACATATATACATATATATATACATACATATATACATATACATATATATATATATATATCAGATAGTTTTATTATGTATAGTTTTCTGCTTGCATATGTCCCTGCAGGCCAGAAGAGGGCACCAGATCTCATTATAGATGGTTGTGAGCCACCATGTGGGTGCTGGGAATTGAACTCAGGACCTCTGGAAGAGCAGCCAGTGCTCTTAACCTCTGAGCCATCTCTCCAGCCCCCAAGTATATAATCTTTTAAGCATAACACTATGTTTATATAAAACATTCTGAACCAAAGTTTGCACAATTTTTCTTAAATTTTTTGCATTGAATGTCCCTTCCAGTTTTATGTAACATAAAAATGTCCACACACTCAACTACAGCTCAACAATTATTATAATACTATCCCAATCTTAATACAATAGTAATTAATTTCTAGATATGTTTATATTCATAAGCCAAGCCACAATATTCTTATATTCCTCTAGAAAATGTGCGAACACTTCCCAAACAGAAGCGCCATACTGCTTGTCTCTTTTATTCTGATCTTTACACTTTCCTCTCAGATTACAATATATTTAAGGCCAGCGGCCATCCTGTAATAGGAACTAAAAACAAGTAAATCATCCAAACAGGAATGCTTCAAAGACTCTCCAAATAGCACTAAGTAGGAGCCACAGTGGCACAGTAAGGGTGTACTCACAAAACTTCGCTTGCTGGAGTAGGACGTTGTTGACAGGGACGACGTTAAATAGAAATCCATGGGCCCCTTCTTAGCAGTGCTCAGTGCTTTCAGATTGCAGAAGCACACACTGAGAAGAGTAAGGTGAAATGGCATCTTCACATTTACCATATTTCGGAGAAGTTTCATAAGGATATCAAGCAGGGGAGTCATTGCATCATAATTTCCTAAGTAAAATGTTGAAGGATATAATGAGCACCTGCATCTTAATTAATATTCAAAGCATAGTATTATTCATATGAGTTATATTAAGAAATTAAAACCTAATTTGGGATCAGTGGATATTTGGCAATATTTACTAAATGTATTCTACACAATTATTTTAGTTTTGTTCCCTTTGAATCTGGGATATATTTTTAACTAAGTATTTCCTACTGTTAATCCCTAGTAAAATTAATTTTGAAAACCACATGAAAATACTTTTATGTTGCATGTTTCTAAATGAAAGTTTACTTTTTTGAAGAGTTCAATATACCAACTACATTCTTAAAAAAGTAGCCCATACCTGTCCCTAACTTCTGAATGACGTGGGAAGGAATGGGGCACTGGCGACTCTCACGATTACAGTGTTTCTCAGAGTACCGACGGATGACTAATCTTATTGTATGGGGCTTCCTTCCATCATGGCATACTCTAAAAATATAAATGGGAAAACAGAATTATAAAATGTAAAAACATGCCTTTAAGATGATGGAACACTAATTTATTGCAGTGTCGGATCCAGTAACTATATATACCATTGGAAATGGTACAAGCAATGCATATTCAAGAACATCCAAATAAGTATCTCAAAGTCAATACAGCAAAGCTCTGAAATTTAAAATATCACTCAGAATTAAGTGCCGTCATAAATGGATCAATCTACTTTATAGTCCAAAACATAGTTAAAAACAACGTATTAAATCAGAGAGAATGTTTGCCAGTTATAAATCCATAGAGGACTAATATCGAGAATATATAAAGAACTCAAAAACCAAAGCATCAATAAAACAACCCCACTTTAAAAAAAAAAAAACAAAAAACAAAAAACATCAGTCCCTAACAGCAGACTGATGGGATAGGATAGGCCACCTTGCACTCCTGCCTCTGTGTCTTCCCCACTTGGGAGGGTGGGGGACTGTTTCCCTCCCTTGAACCAAGAAGCAAAATAAACTGTTTCTCCTTTTTTACAAAAAACGTTTCAACAGTCTTGTCAATCATAGAAAAGTGAATTAAAACTCCTTTGCCATTTCATCAAAATGGCTACCATTAAGATAAAGGATAACAAATGCCAGTAAGGAAGTGTAGAAAGGAGAGCCCTCATTCACTTTTGGTGAGAGTACAATCTGGGATAGTCACTGTGGACATCCTCAGAAAGCTAAAAAAAAAAAAAAGTCTACCATATGACCCAGCCATACCACTCCTGGGCTTATAACCAAAGCTCTTGAAAATAAAAATTTGAGGTATGTTTGAGGAAAATGGATGGACTTATGACATACAATATTAAGCAAGGGAATACAATCTCAGAAAGAAATTAACTACATGTCTTTCCTCATATTCAGAATCTAGCCAAATGTACATGTGGGTACAGTAAAACATGAAGAAAAGAGGATAAGAAAGCTTAAATATAAGGGGACGAGGAAGGACTGAATTCAATTGGGCCACATCTTCTGCTGCCAGCCTAAAGGACATGGAAGAAGGAAGCCTGCTCTCTTTTTGCCTGTGTGCTCTTACTCTCATGAGGAAGTCCAATCCTTCACTGGTATTACATTTATAATCAGACTCAAAGTCTGCTTAGTAGAAGGAGCTGCATGCCTGGTGCTGTAAGAATAGCCATAAGCCTTTGGCTGGATCGGTCACAGACCCTAGAAGAAAATCTATCATTTCATTAAACTTGTATAACATTGCCAGTCGATGATGGCGCATTCTTTTAATTCCAGTACTCAGGAGGCAAAAGCAGGTGGATCTTTGTGAGTTTGAGGCTAGCCTGATCTACAAAGCAAGTTCCAGGACAGCCAGGGCTATACAGAGAAACTTTGTCTTGCAAAGCAACAAAGCTAAAACAAAGCAACAACAAAAAGCGGGTATACCATCTAACTGTCTCTTAAATACTTATGCATAGATGAATGCAGCTCAACACATCAAATAAGCTTCTTTGTGTAACATATGGAGGTCATTTCAGAGGATCACAAACGGACAATGTGCAGAGAATAAAAGTGCCTGTGGTGCTCCTAACCCAAAATAGTGCATCTATAACAAAACTCCTACACCAAGGCTTATGGAACAGTGCAGAAGAGGGAGAAGAAGACAGTAGGACCCAGAGGACTAAGAGGATTGCTATAAAATCATGTCTTCTCGACATGACAGGGATTATGCAGCCAAGAGCTATTAATAGGTATGACTGCCTATGCAAAACCACAGCAGTGGTCTTGGCTGGACACCAGGAGGGGTTACTCAGCCCCTCACCCAGTGGTGAGTGTGGTAGTTTGAATGTAATTGGCTCCATAAGCTCACAGGAAATGGCACTATTAGGAGGTGTGGCTTTGGTCTTGTTGGAAGAAGTATGTCACTGTGGAGGTGGGTTTTGAAGTCTTATATATGCACATGCCAGGCTCAGTGCCTCAGTCCACTTCCTGTTGCCTTCTGATCAAGGTATAGCCAGCAAGCACTATGTCTGCCTGCATGCTGCCATGCTCCCTGCCATGATGACAATGAACTAAACCTCTGAAACTGTAAGCAAGGCACCTCAATTAAATGTTCTCCTTTTTAAGAGTTGTCATGGTCATGGTGTCTCTTCACAGCAAGAGAAACCCTAAGACAGGGAGCTATAGGCAATAGATGGCTACAAAGAAAGTTCCAGGACAGCCAGGGCTACACAGAGAAACTTTGTCTTGCAAAGCAACAAAACTAAAACAAAGCAACAACAAAAAATGGGTATACCATCTAGCTGTCTCTTAAATACTTATGCATAGATGAACGCAGCTCAACACATCAAATAGAGGGAATCAGTAGAAGTAGAGAACATGAACTGAAGGGGATATGGCAGGAGGATATCAGAAGACTTGGTGAGGGTAAAACAGATATAATAAAAAAGGCATACCTAAAATTATACATACATACATATACGTGTGTGTGTGTGTGTGTGTGTGTGTGTGTGTGTGTGTGTGTGTGTGTAGCACAAGTTCTAATAGGTCTTAATAATCAAAGCCGGGAGTTAGATATAGCGGAAAATGTTGAGATATCAGAGATGAAAGAGCAAAACCACTGCCATCTTACCTACTCAACTTCCCAGCCAAAAAGAGAGTGAGCTCCTCTCTCCTCCCGCCTTTTTACTTCCTCTCTCCACCCAGACATCTCACTTCCTGTCTGTCTGTACAGACCTCCAGACCTCTATAGTTAGCTAGTGGCTTTCTCTGCCCTCTGATCTTCAGGCAAGTTTTATTTGTACAAACAAGATATCACCACATATTTATATAAAATATTATATATATATATACATAAACTATATATGCACAATATATACTATATGATTTAAAGACGTTGCACCACTTGGAGCAATAGTGGCCCCCTAAGAGATATGGACTATCAAACAAAAACTCCAGTAGCATGCACGAGAAACCCCCTCCCAAGTTCTTGGTCAGAGCAGTCCTAAATTCTTAAAACAACACAAGGCTATTGCTGTTGCCCTAGACTGCCTCCCAGAACTTTAAGGTGAGGGCCTATTTCTGAAGACACCATGCACTTTGGACATAGGTCTTGGGAGTAATAGAGCTGCAACTGATCCAGAAACCTCATCTCTGAGGAGTGGCTCTCACAGTATCAGAAAGTACAGTACAAACTGGCAAGGGAAAGGAGCATTCAGTCATCCTAACCAGCTGTAGCCTGGCTGAACCAAAACATGACTAGACTGGCCATGTTCAGAAACGGTGTAATGGCAGCAGTTGTATTTTGGTGACAACCAGCAGCTGCCTAATTTGACTTAATGTCCACTTAACAGGACATCAGGAAAAAGCTAAAAGCAATTTTAAACTAGTATCTTGGGGGTGGCTTTTTAAAATACAGCTTACCCTCTTTTCCTCCCTGTAGGATTTTGTGTGTGTGTGTGTGTGTGTGTGTGTGTGTGTGTGTGTGTG